GGTCGATAATATACTAAGTAAAAACTTTATACCAACTGAAGTGAATTACCCATAGATTGTTGCGTATTACCCATAAGTCATGATGTGCTCTTACAAAGTATTCCTTCGTGGATCACCTGCCGCACCTGCTGGGATATTTGTGCATAATTGGCCAATGTGCGACACAATGCGGATGAATCTGGCGGGCGAGTTCCATTCATAAAGTTCCACGGTCTCGTTTCAATGCAGCCTCCCTTTATAGGACGCGTTGCACCTCGTGCAATTATTTTTGGGCCCAGAGGCGACCCGCCCGTCCTATTATACACCTCGTTATGACGTTTTCACGAGCTTCCAACAAAAAGCCGATGGAGCAGGCAAAAAAAAAGAAAAAGAAATAGCAATGTTTTGCCCCCCACAATACAGTCAGACCCTCTTCCAATAACGAAGGGAAGGTGTCCAAAAAAAGATGCGCCGGTGTAACCCACGTATGCCTATGGGCGGCGTGTGACGTGCATCCCGATAGACTTCTTGCGGCTGGTGCGAGATGCTCTGCATTCTCTCTCTCCCCCCCCCCTCCCCCTCCCGTGTAGCACCGACCGCACTAACATTCCGTCGCACACTGTTGTTTGCGAGGGCGAGGATCGCGGCCGTGTATTAGTGTGTAAGGGTGGCAGTTGATTTGCGGCCCCTCGCTCACTGCAGACCCGCCCGGGCTGACCGACGCGCGCCAAGCCAAGGGGTGCCCGTTTATTGGGTGTTCGTCCCGAAGACGGCCGAAAGGAAAGGGATAAGATTTCCTCGTGAAAGAGGGGAAGGTTCATTGCTTGTCGGGCGTTCGGGCAAGGTGAGGAGGGGGTGGGGAAGAAAGTGAAAGCGCCCCTCGTCATGTAACGAGAGGGGCGTTAGGTTAGGGCCCCCCTTCTCGCTCCGCCGGGCAGAGTCCGCACCCCCCTGCCGGGGCAAGGCCTGGTACGGATTCCCGTCCTTCACACGTACAGCAACGTACCATGTAACATCTGTTATCCCCTACCGACAGTTGTTTATTTGCATGATATGCACCTCATTTTCACGTTTTTCGCCTTTTTGTATGTCGCAGGCGTTAACAAGTTGGGTGGGTACCAGCCGACTGATTCCGAAGAGCACCCTCCTATACCTTCCGTATAGCTCCGTCCTTGTCGCACTCACGCGGCAGCTCCCCTTGAGCGCTCTTCGCGGAATCAGTAGTCTGCAGAGTCTCTTTGCAAGCGGGAAGCGAGTCTTGGAGCCTTGGCGACTTCTTACCCTACTTTTTCGGTTCGGCAGAACATCCTGTTCGACTGCACCTGGACTACCCTGTAGTGTGTCCCCTTGCAGCCTCCTAGCCGCCCCACCCCTGCCCGTGAGTCCCTCCGCGGCGGGACGCTATAGCGGGACGGACAGGACTCGGCCCATTATTCTCTGCTGTCCGAGGTCTCTCTTTTTTTTCGCTTCGGCCAGCAGGCCGCCGGGCCGGACGAGACGACGTACTGCCCTTCTAGTGTTCCGATCGACCTGCCGGCATCGACCGCGCCTCCTGCGAGCGACGGCCCCGCGCTGACCGGCAGCCGGGCCTCATCGGGCACACCAAAGTGGCGGACTGTATGACCGGGAGGGTCAGCGGCGGGCGCGGGCCGGACTGCTCTGGGGGCGGGGGCCTGCCCGGGGCACGGGCAGAGTAGCCCACCGGGAGAAGCAGGGCCGGGGCCGGGCTGCGTCCTTGGAATGCTTCGGTACATATGGAAAAATTTATTACGCGACCATATCGTCTTGTATTGCAGCTCAGAGCCGCACGCCGCCCCACGCGACCCCGCACCACTCCCCACCGCGTCCCACCTCGCGCCCCGTACTCTACGACCCACACCACCGTGCCATGCTGTCCCCAGAGGGCGCGGCGAGTAGGGGAGGGAAAGGGTGGCGGGGGTGCTGGGGACGCCCCCGACACCAAAGTGGGTGGAGGGGAGCACCCAGAGGAAGTAGATGGATGTGTGTGGCAGGTCCAACACGTCTACATCAAACGGCCCCCCACCCCCTCCCCTTTACCGCACGCTTCTCGCGCTTCTTTTCATATCTGGAGCGTCGAGTTGAAGTTGTTTGCAACGCCGAGCACCGCGTTTGTTCGGCATTGCCGCTACGTGCGAATCGCTCACCTAGTTGTTCATACCTTGACTCTCCCCC